ATCACAGTTTAAGCCTGGAAGGCTTCTCTCAATATGGAGGGAAGGTCCCAGTACCTCCCAGGACAGACGGCAAGGCCAGGGCCTTTCTATCTTATGGCCAGAGTAGATGGTGATAGAAGGGAGTGGTCAGGTGTGTGACTGCTCAGAGTAACTTGTGGATGTGTGTGTGTGTGTGTGTGGACAAGGAGAGCAAAGGGGAACAAATAGATGACTCAGTGGAGAAGGAGAATGGGAAGCTCTTGACTTGACTTCCCATTTAGGAATCTGGGTGCCTTTCTTCCCGTGTGTACAGAAGGAACTCGGAAGTACGAGAGTGTGTGCAGAGTGCTTGCAGAGAGGGGACACGTGACAGAGGTGAAGTGGCTTTTCAGAGAGGCCACAGTGCAGTCAGTGTAGGCAGGTGCTGCCTTGTGCACAGGGTACCTGAGATGAGCTAGGATCAGGCCACGCCAGTCAGTGAGGACCACCGCGGTCAGCAGAAATGAACAGAAATTCGGTGGATACGAGTTGGCTAAAAAGTGGAAATAAGAAGAGTCCTTTGATGGACAGAATTACTTGAGAAAATTACAGTAATTTAGCACCTAAAGACTAGGTTTGAGGGGAGAGGGGCATGGTTGGCCAGAAATTCACAGTGGTGGGGGGTAGTTACAGCTGATAAGGACTTTAAACGTCACCCAGACTTTGCTGCGCTGCCGCCTCTGTTTATATCCAGCGTGCCCGACCCTTTGTAAAATTGGGAGCATTCTTTGGTTACAGTATTGAGGGATGGGAGGGAAGAAATGAGAGCATAAATCTGCCTGCAGTGATGGGTGATGACAAAGCAGTATGAAATTAATTCACGAAGCCTAAGAGTGAAGACTTAGTGGAAATTAAAAATTCACCTGAAGCAAGACATGAGAGAAAGACGCAACTGAAGAATGCAAGCCCTCCGTGAGTTTGGAAGGTATCGATGGTGCAGTGGGTGGGTATGGCTTCTATTAGTTAGAAGGGGGTTCCAGCAAGTCTATTATAATATTCAAGATAAGATGATTCTCCTAAGCCTGGAAACCTAGAAATAACTAAGCTGTAGAAATCTAGGTTAGATATGCTTTACACAATTTTATACAATTAAAATATGCTTTCAGTGATCAGTCAATAACATTTATTACGGACTCATTCCAGACTGCTGGACTCAAAATAATGAATGTCTTGAACTCACCAACTTAGTTACTTCTACAGTAAAAAAATAAAACAAGGAAAGAGATTCACATCAGCAATTTCTATGATTTTTGAAATGTCTTTTCCTTCTCATGTGTGAACTATAAGTAAACAATACCACTTCCTCACCCTTATATTGTTTTTGTTATTATTAAAGTAACAATAACTTACAGACAGTGGCATAGATTTATACCTATTGGTTATTTAAAGTTCATGAAATGCCTTCCGCTCCCTGGAGAAAATGCACCGAATACGTATAAAATAATAATAAAATAATGATATGCCCAAGGATGGACCGTGTTTCTGTATTTTCATGCTGTGAGCATCACGGGCATTTTAGAGCACAGGTTGTTTATAAATGAAGCCCCCAGCTGTTCCTGAGAGACTCAGGCAGAAAAGAGGAGTAAACGGAGGGTAATAATCCTGATTATAATAGGAGGCTGTTTCTATAGTGACCCTGGGTGAGCTGCATTCTCCCTAGGACTAGACCACTCGGCCAGTAGCGCCTACAAAGTACCATGTGGTAAATTACCTCCTTCCAGGTACTAAATGATACCTTGATGCCTTGGAAAAATTAATGGGTGAGTGGTTTACACTGAGAGCATTTTATTCCCTCTGAGTCAACATAGGATTCTGCCCAATTAAGTTTTGGAGGGCAGAATTTGCCCTAGAAAGAGCAGTTTAAAGCTTTAGAGTTATCGAAGCAATATAAAAAGTAGCCCCTAATGTGTAGTAAAGATAGGACTTCTCACCGTGGGTAAGACTTTCATTATCACAGAGTTATTACATTTCCCTCAGTGGCCAAAGGAAGCGGGGGGACGGTGGGAACTATCATTAAAATATAAACATTTTAACATTTTTAACGTCTATTTATGGCCAATCAGCTATCTCTTGGTGTCTTCTAAAACATGCCAAGCCACGTGGCCTGTCACAATGTCTCAGACAATTCAGAGTGTTGCCACATCAGGTAAATAAATAAAAGTCATCGTTTTCTCTAGAAATATATTTTCTACATTTAATGGATTATATATTCATTGAGACAACATAGAATTCAAATAGGCTGGAGGCATTATTGGATTTTGAACTAATTTTTTTTTAATAGAGAAGGCCAAAATGCCATTTTGTGCAGTTAATCTAATTATTTCTCAAGCTCTGTTCTTCTGTCGGTTGAATTAAATTAACAAAATTAAATTAATGAATTTTTAAGGAGGATTTTCTTTAAAGAATCTGATATTATTGTGATTATTTAAACAAAATGGATATACTTTTTATTTTTATATAGTAAAGATGCTTGAAGTGTCTGAATCGAGTATAAGCATACATTATTAGGTGAATAGTCTAGCAGTAATTATTTGAGGTTGACTTACAGTGACAGTAATATTATCACATTCATAAAGCACTTTTATGTTCTGAGAATTGTGGGGTTTTTTACTCCAGTATTTTAATTGTTTATCAAAAGCACCTATGCAATAGGCAAAAGTGATAGACGTGTAGTTTTTGCAAAAGCTGGGGATGTAGATGAGGAAGCCGGGGAAGAGCTTTCCCCAACTTCCATCCACATCTCAGCCTCACGTTTCCCAAAGCGCAGCTCATCAATGAAGATCTGGTCATGACACTCGTAGATACGGAAATGGAGGCGAAAAAGCATGCGCACATACATTTGTTTTTACTGCAATGGTGACGGAGAAATAAATTACGCAAAGTACCATTTTAACATTCAGAGTGACACTGCTCAGATCTGCCTCCTGTCACAGCCACGTAACAGCTGTGCAGTTTCCCCTGTGAACTTTACCTTTCTCCTCTGCAAGACGGGAATAATAATCACACCTCATGCCCTTGTCCCCATGATTAAGATATTTTAATTAATTGAGAGCACTTACAATGCCTAGCCAGGGCAACTCCCATGGTGCGACTCATTGAGATTAGAGCATCAGGCAGGGCCTCATAAAGGAAGTGACATTTAAAATGAAAATGAAGAATAAGCTGAGGGAAGTGTTTAGGGAGAAAGGCTCCAAGGTAGTAATGGACCTGGTGGGTTTAAAGAAATAAGAGAGGGGAATTGAACCTAAAATTTCTGCTTCAAGTTGCTTATTGTGAAATAAGAGGAAACAAAGTATTTATATTAGGCAATGGCAGCCCCAAGTAGTGTGTGATCCATTCTACCCTAGGCTAGTGGTCCCGGAAGTGGGTTAGGTAACTACATCCCAACAGTCCACAGGGTAAAGCAATTCCCTGCTGAAGGCTGGGAATGCGTGAGAACGTCTGGGACTCAGGAAGTGTGGGAGAGGAGCACGCTGAGTGGAGGGAGCTACAGTAACAAAGCCAAGGATATACGAAACACACGGACATTTCAGGAGCTTACCTCAGGAGTAGGGGAGACAGAGAATGCTGAGAGTTCTAAAATTGAGAATATAAGCGAAACAAATTATTCAGGCCACACTACAGAGTTTGGAGGTTTGGAGGCAACGGAGAATCACTGCATTATTTTAATCAGTGACATGTCATGGTCAGATTCTGATTTCTGAACGTTTATAAAACATCAGAATTTCTGGGAATGAGGTTCAGTTCTCTGTAGTCTTGCTAAGCATGCTAAGTGAATCTTGTGGACTACTACATTTTAAGAATTACTGTTGCTGTTGTTCAAAATAGTCTTAAGAATTTTGATAATTAAAAATAAAAAGGATTCTTCATGCAGAGGAGCACGAGGAAACTTTCTGAGGCAGCAGGGATGTTCTAGACTGCAATCGTGGTTGGGATTACACAAATTTATACATTTGTTAAAATGCATTTAAATGTATCCCTGCAATTGGAGAGTTTTATTGCTTGTAAATTATCTTGATAAACCTGTTTGTTTTTAAAAGCCAGTGGGCTTGGTGGATAGCAAGGGAGTGCTACCCTTCAAAGAGGAATGCCATTGTTACATAAGAGTCACAAAATTGCAAAGGGATGAACAGAGTGCTGTAGTAGTGGAAACAGTGAACACTTACTGGAAGGAGATGGTAATGGGAGGCAGGACAGAAGCTTGATAGAGTAGGATGACTGAAGAAAAACTCTTCAGGTGCCATTTGGAGCGAGGTAGAGGAGGTGAAACCTGTCGAGAAGAGAATTAACATGTAAGGAAGAAAAGTAATTACTGGGGCAGCTATAGTGAATGGGACTGAGAAAAAAAAAACTGGCGGAATGAATCTAATGCATTTTTCTGCAGTGATTGAAAACAAAGGAAGCAACAATGAGATGTGCTGCTAAATTTTGCCAGAGTTGGTTGGACTTTTGCCAATAACGTAGACAACCAAGTTTACACTTCCTCTCTGTCCATCAGGACAACCTCTGTTTTGCCTTCAATGTTCTGACAGTTATGTCCCTTCACTTGTTTCCACAAAGAAGCCACTTGCAGGAAGTTTGTCATGGGATTTACAGATTTTTACTGAATGCCTTGTTTCTGACGTGGTGACCATGAGCCATGTTCAAACCTAATTGTAATGAGTTTTCCGTGACCACGTTGTGCTGCTTTCCCAAGTCTGAGATAAACTCTTCAGACTCTGCTCAGTATCATTTTGTTCTGTTCTTCGACCCTTTGGTCAGACAACCTTAAGACATCCACGGCAGTAGGAAATGAAAGATGTCCTCAGTTTCCTATCTGGCCCAAATTGGGGACATTTGACAGGACTGTTCAAGTCTTTTTTGAGAAATGGGATGCTTTTAGCTTTCTACTCTTTCCCCTCCAGCTCAAACTGGATTTAATCCTATACTAATTGAGCTTCATTTTGTTTTTCTTTTTCCTGTTTGTTTTGATGTATTATTAGAGAAGAGCTTCAAAGCCGACAGGAAACTGCTTTTTCATCCCTCCTACTCCCTAGTCCCACCCCAGGCCGTCCAGCATCCTGACTCTCAACTTCTAAGAAACTGTGGAATCACTTGAGAAGCCTGTTTCTCAAATTCTTCATCCTACTTCTCCACCAAAACCGAGGGGTAAGAATGGTGAACGATCAACTTCTTTCCTCTTTTCTAGCTGACCACATGCTACGTTTCTGAGTCCCCCAGCCAGTAGCCATTTTCAGTGATGAGCTGACCCTGCACAGCCACTGCCTCCTTGGTCCTGGGAGCCTCCTGCTTTCCTCACCTACCCGTCATGGGAAAGCTGTGTGTATGGCAAGCCTTTGATAGAAGATGTGGACAAAACTTCTTAGCAACCATGGCTTAAAAATACATGATCTTCGAGGAAAGTATTCTATACATAGTCTCAGTAACTAAAATGCTATTACTTTTCAAATAATTCCAAGTGAATTACACATGAGAGGCAGAGAAAATGATATTCACCATAATTTCTTCCAGGAAGAACACTGAATTTGTATGGAAAGAACTTTTATAAGCCCACCTGGGACTTGGGTACAGTCTCCAAAGCTCAGCGCCCCCAAAGAGGTTTCCTCATGTGTACAGCATTACTTATCCAGAGATAAGGGGTGAAAAGTTTTGTTGTCATAGGAAAGAGTGGAGAACAAGGAAGAAGGAGGGGAAAAAGTCAGGCTTATAAAATAGGCCGTTGTGTGGTGTGAACTTTTTCTGCATCAGTAGTCATTAGTACATGTTTTAATTGTGTGTGTGTGTGAGAGAGAGAGAGAGAGAGAGAGAGAGAGA